TATACATTGGGAGAGAATAAATATCTTTAAGGTTATTATTTTAATCAGTCATATATTCAGCCTATTTTGTACAGGTTAATAGAAGTTTGCATTAATGCAGCTATTCCCTAAGAAAGGAGGGTGGACACTATGTCCCTCCCGAGTCAAAGGCCTGTCCTTCCCTCCATTCACTGAAGCCCTGAACAACTCTTGAGGTATGTAGAGCTGCATAAGAGGGAGTATTTTCCTCTACATTTAATTATGTAGAGTTCTAGGACAAGCTATAGAAGATATGAGAGGGGAATTACCTATCTATCTTTTCTATCTATATTGCTTAGAGCTGTGTTATAGATGGAATCATTTCTCTCTAAAGTCCATGTGTTGAAATCTTATTCCCTAAATACCTCAGAATGTGACCTTATTTGGAAATAGGATCATTGCAGATGTGATTAGTTAAGAGGTCCTCATAATGGAGTGGGGTGGGCTCCTAATTGAGTATGACTAGTATCCTTATTAAAAAAAGAGAGATTTAAACACAGATGCAGGGAGACCCCCATGTGAAATTAGACCCCCATGATTTCCCCAAGATTAGGGAACCTAGGAAAAAGGACTGGAACAGCCTCTCCCCTAGGAGCTGACCCTGCCAACACTGGTTTCAAACTTCTGGCCTCCAGAATTGTGGGACAGTACAATTCTGCTGTTCTAAATCACCCAGTTTGTGGTACTGGGTTACAACAGGCTTAAGAAATTATAGGCTATAACATAGGTGCACTGGTGTGGGGAGGAGGGGGTTGATTTCTTTCAATATCCGTTTCAGCACATGTATTAGCGCCATCATTGGCTTATCCATCTGTATGGCCTGTGCATCTGTCTGGGTCAGAACACACGTCAGTGTGTTTCTACGGACTGTGCGAGGCATCTGATTACAACTATGGGGCTTTGTCACCTACTAGCTGTGAAATTAACCTCACTGATTTAAAGGTCTTCATAACAGTTAATACTTGATCTAGTATAGCATGGGGCTTATTTGCAAGGATCAAAGGAGATGACAAAAATGGAAGGCAACATGTAGGCACAGAGAAGAGAATTCAGTGTAGAGGTTAAGATCGTTGCAGCCGGGTGAACAAGTTCAAATTCTACTCCACTCTTTACTATTTTTGTGACTGAACTGTGGAGTAAGCTATAATTTTGAAATAAGAGGTACAATAACACCTATGCCAGGAAGATCAAACAAATTACTATATAAAGAGGTCTTAGAGGATTGCCTGGCACATAGAAAATATTCAATAAATGGTGTCTATCATGCAAGCTATTGAGAACCATACAAATATTAGATCATTATAATTTATAGTTAGTAAAAGCTATTGATGAATATCCTTGTACACTGATAATTTTGACATTCTAGCTCAAGGTGCATTTTAGTAGCAGTATTTTAGACAGCTATTAATGCAAGAGTTAAAGAGAGAATTACACATGATGTCTGGCAGCAGGTAGATCAGGTTTGTCCAGTGACTCAAAAGAACCTTAGAACTAGAAGCAATTTCTGATATTCATTAGTCTTGTCATTTCCTTGTTTTAAAATATTTTGGAGCCAAACTTTCTGTTGAGCATTATGCTAACTGCTCTAATATGCAAATAAAAAGCAAAAGATTTAATTGGATTTTACTTCAGCGTCAGAATTAGGAATTGATTTTTTAAACAACTGTTTTTAAAGTTTCTAATGAAATCTTTGCATATGTTTGAATCGAGATACGCTGTCAATATATCATGCTCCTTGTTCTTCTTGTTCAGTTGCTAAATCACGTAAGACTCCCTGTGACCCCATGGACTGTAGCACACCAGGCTTTTTTATCCATCACCAATTCCTGGAGCTTGCTCAAACTCATGTCCATTGAGCTGGTGATTCCATTCAGCCGTCTCATCCTCTGTTGCCCCCTTCTTCTCCTGCTCTCAATCTTTCCCAGCATCAGAGTCTTTTCCAATGAGCTGGCTATTCACATCAGGTGGCCAAAATATTGGGAGTTTCAGCTTCAGCATCAGTCCTTCCAATATTGATTTCCTTTAGGATTAACTGGTTTGATCTTCTTGCAGTCTAAGGGACTGTCAAGAGTCTTCTCCAGCATCACAATCCAAAAGAATCAGTTCTATGGTGCTCAGCCTTCTTTATGATCCAACTCTCACATCCATACATGCTGGAAAACCATAGCTTTAAGTATATGAACTTTGTTGGCAAAGTGATATCTTTCTTTTTAATATGCTGGCTAGGTTTGTCATAGCCTTCCTTACAAAGAGCAAGCATCTTTTAATTTCATGGTTGCAGTCATTGTCCACAGTGATTTTGGAGCCCAAGAAAAGAAAATCTCTCATTACTTCCACTTTGCCCCATCTATTTCTCGTGAAGTGATGGGACAGGATGCTATGATCTTAGTTTTTTTAATGTTGAGTTTTAAGCCAGCTTTTCCACTCTTGTCTTTTACTCTCATCAAGAGGCTCTTTAGTTCCTCTTCATTTTCTGCCATTAGAGTGCTATCATCTGTGTATCTGAGGTTGTTGATATTTCTCCCAGCAATCTTGAGTCCAGCTTGTAATTCATCCAGCCCAGCATTTTGCCAGATGTACTCTGCATACAAGTTAAAAAAACAGGAAGACAATATACAACCTTGTCATATTCCTTTCCAAATTTTAAACCAGTCAGGTGTTTCATGCAAGAGTCTAACTGTTAATTCTTGACCTGCATACAGGTTTCTCAGGGGACAGGTAGAGTGGTCTGGTATTCCCATTTCCTTAAGAAGTTCCCACTAATTGTTGTGATCCACACAGTCAAAGGCTTTCACATAATCAGTGAAGGAGAAGCAGATATTTTTTTCTGGAATTCCCTTGCTTTCTCTACGATTCAGTGAATGTTGGCAATTTGATCTCCGGCTCCTCTGCCTTTTCTAAATTGAGCTTGAACATCTAGAAGTTCTTGGTTCACATACAGCTGAAAGCCTAGCCTGAAGGATTTTGGGCATAACTTCACTAGCGTGTGAAATGAGCACAATTGTACCATAGTTTGAACATTCTTTGGCATTTCTCTTCTTTGGGATGGGAATGAAAACTGACCTATTCCAATCCTGTGGCCACTGCTGAGTTTTCCAAATTTGCTGGCGTATTGAGTGCAGACCTCTAACAGCATCATCCTTGAGGATTTGAAATAGCTCAGCTGGAATTCCACCACCTCCACTCACTTTGTTCATAATGATGCTTTCTAAAGTCCACTTGACTTCACACTCCAGGGTGCCTGACTCTAGATGAGTGACCACACCATCACAGTTATCCTGGTCATTAAGACCTTTTTGGTATATTTCTTCTGTGTATTTTGCCACCTATTCTTAATCTCTTCTGCTTCTGTTAGTTCTTTACCATTTCTGCCCCTTGCTGTGCCCATCCTTGGATGAAATGTCCCCTTGATATCTCCATTTTTCTTGTAGAAATCTTATTCTTTCCCATTCTACTGTCTTCCTCTATTTCTTTTCATTGCTCAGTTAAAAAGGCCTTCTTACCTCCCCTTGCTGTTCTCTGTAACTCTGCACTCAGTTGGGAATATCTTTCCTTTTCCCCCTTACCTTTGATTCTCTTCTTTTCTCAGCTATATGTAAAGCCTCCTCAAACAACCATTTTGTTTTCTTGCATTTATTTTTCTGTGGAATGGTTTTGGTCACTGACTCATGTACAACATTATGAACCTCTTCCATAGTTTTTCAGGCATTCTGTCTACCAGATCTAAACCCTTGAATCTATTCATCACCTCCACTGTATAATCAAGAGGGATTTGATTTAGGTCATACCTGAATGGTCTAGTGGTTTTCCCTACTTTCTTCCATTTAATTCTGAATTTTGCAATAAGGAGCTCATGATCTGAGCCACAGTCAGCTCCAAGTCTTGTTTTTGCTGACTGTATAGAGCTTCTCCAGCTTCAGCTGCAAAAAATATAATCAGTTTGATTTCAGTATTGACCATCTGATGATGTCCATGTATAGAGTCATCTCTTTTGTTGTCAGACAAAAGTGTCTGCTATGACCAGTGGGTTCTCTTGGCAAAACTCTGTTAGCATTTGCTCTGCTTCATTTTGTACTCCAAAGCCAAACTTGCCTGTTACTCCAAGCATCTTGACTTCCTACTTTTGCATTCCAATCCCCTATGATGAAAAGGACATCTTTTTTGGTGTTAGTTCTAGAAGGTCTTATAGGTCTTCATAGAACTAGTCAACTTCAGCTTTTTCACAATCACTGGTTGGGGTGTAGATGGATTATTGTGTTGTTGAATGGTCTGCCTTGGAAATGAACCAAGATCATTCTGTTGTTTTCAAGATTGCACCCAAGTACTGAATTTTGGAATCTTCTGTCTACTATTAGGGCTACTCCATTTCTTCTAATGGATTCTTGCCCACATTAGTAGATATAATGGTCATTTGAATTAAATTTGCTCATTCCCATTCATTTTAGTTCAGTGATTCCTAAGATATCAATGTTCACTCTTATCATCTCCTTCTTGACCAGTACCAGTTTACCTTGATTCATGGACCTAACATTCCAGGTTCCTATGCAATATTGTTTACAGCATTGGATTGTACTTTCACCACCAGACACATCCACACTGAGTATTATTTCCACTTTGGCCCAGTTGCTTCATTCTTTCTGGAGCTACTAGTACTCTATTACTAATTGTTACTAATTAGTACTATTACTATTAGCTTCTTTGTTGTCAGTAAATAAGGATTAGCCAGACACTTTCTCACCTTTCCATACACCTCAGAGTGAGTTTTGGACTGTCAAATAAAAGAGTACCTTTGGACAACACCACTTGTTTCTTATGTGTCTGGCTTCACAGAGGAGAAAGAAACACTTCCGTCTCTTGCCTTACAGAGGAGAAAGAAGTATTTTAGCCAAACCCTTTCCATTCGTTTACTCAGAAGAAGAAATAGGAACAGCTGTGACTGAATGAAATTATATTATCACATGAATTCAGTTTTGTAAACTTACCCAGGAAGTGTAAATTTGGAGGACAGATTGTCTCAGTGCTGTGGATAAGTTATAGCCTTCAGAACTGTGGTGCGTTTGGTGACCAGCCCACATAATGTTAACCTCTGCAAAACACATAATTTGAAATGAGCCATGAGAATAAGAACAAGGCAACTTCCATTTTCAGTTGTGTATGCTGCTCTGTTGAATGAGAAAGAAAAATCTGGAACATCTCTGAAAAAAGCAGGTCAATATAATTATAATTAAAATAAGCTGCCTTGAATCATTTTTGGAAGCAGAGAGGAAATAAATTATAAATAAAACTGAAACATAGCCAATAAATATGTATAGTGTATATGATATAATTAAATGCCTCCAGCAAACTGAAATGACTTCCAAAATTTACACTTTGCTAACATATTACAATATAACAGATCATAAAAGCTAACTTGTAATGTTTGAACAAAACAGTCAATGCACTGTGATGAGTTTTCAGCATGTGGTAACATATTTCTAATTAAAGAAGAATACTCTGATGGGAGAAATAGTGTATAAATTTAAAAATGAAATATTATACCATATTCTCCCTAATGGCTTTATTAAAATTTCAAAATCTGTCTACTGGAATAAGAGACAATGGAAAATAATATTTGGCCCTAAGATTTAATGTTTCAGTTTTATTTATAGATATATATATATATTAATAATTAATAGTTACATATATTTCTTCCCATATCTCACCATTGCATTAAGCATTATTCAAATTGCCCTCATACTGTCTTGAAATTCATATAAATCCAAAAGATAGTTGTTTGTCTTTTCTGCAGCAATATGCTTCTCTAATGACTATCTAATTGTATGGAATTTTAAAAACAAGCCCATATTTTTCATTCTGCCCTCTTTATTTCATTTTCTACCAGAATTACATATCAAAATTCCATATAGTCTATATTATTAGAAGAACGTATGTTCTTAGCTAAATAAATTTTGTCCTTTGCTACAAATATAGAAGATAGAATTAACCATATGATATGACAGTCACCCCTGCTGGTATACATTGAAAATTTAAAAAAAAAATAGGTTTGGATGCATGGGAACTGAACAGTGAACCTAACAGTGGAAATACTGAGTTATTGGTCTTTGCAATTGCCACATAGTCAGAGTTATAAAGAACCCATCTGCAAATGCAGAAGACATAGAGATGCATAATAATATGTTTTCTTCTTATAACCTCTTTAACTTCTTATAACCTCTACAGACCTAGGGTTAGATTCCTAGGTCGGGAATATCCCCTGGGGGGTGGGTGGCATGGGAACCCACTCGAGTATTCTTGCCTGGAGAATCCCACGGACAGAGGACCCTGGTGGGCTATGGTCCACAGGGTCACAAAGAGTTGGATAAGACTGAAGCAACTTAGCATGGACACACACACACATTAAAATACATGGCATATGGCAGGATAGTTTGTTAGAGTTTAGTGAAACACATGGATATATGGAGAAATAGGCATAAATAGAGTCAATCTTGGTGGACTTTTCTTAGCCAAGAAAAAGCTTTCATTTAGGAAATGAAAGCTCTGTGAGCAATCTATATATAAAGTGAAAGTGCCTCAGTTGTCTCTTTGTGACCCCATGGGCTATACAGTCCATGAAATTCTCCAGGCCAGAATACTGGAGTGGGTAGCCTTTCCCTTCTCCAGGGGATCTTCCCAACCCAGGGATTGAACTTGGGTCTACTGCATTGCAGGCAGATTCTTTACCAACTGAGCTATCAGGGAAACCACAATCTACATAGGGAGTTACCAAACAAAATGTGCAAAAAGAGTTATGGTAAACAAATGAAATATAAGAAAGATTTAATTCTGTGAGAATGAAATTATGAACAGGATTATGAATAGATAGGCTTATAAGAAGTCATTTCTATTCAAGTCATATATTTTCAAGTGAGGCAAGTATTTTCACAAGACATCAGTTTATATCTAACTTAGATTCTAATTGGTCCACACTTTTTTAATCATTCCTAGTAATGATCCTGTATTTCTACTCAAGTAATGAAGGAAACTGTTTTTACACAAATAAGAAATACTTCACCATAATGACCTCAAACTTCCCAGGCATAATCCCTGAAATAACCTAGAACCTAAATCTGTGGTTTATTGATTAGCCTATATAACTATGAATAAGAGAGGTACAAAGAATTCCTTGACACTCAAAATCTTCAGATGTTGTATGCAATATTATTAAGAGATAATAAATCTAATGAACATACTAAATCTTTTAAAGCTTCTTATAGATTCAACATTTGAAGTCATCTAAACACCATTTTCTCTTTAGAACATACTCATTATTGAACATTTCAGAATGTATCACAAAGAAACTTCATTATAAGTCAAAACTATTTCATTGGACCTTTCAGAATTTGTGTAAAAAATTCATCAAAATGTATCCATGCTTCAAGTTCATAAGTGGATGAGCTAAGCAGATGATGTGATTAGATGGCACTAATATGTATTGGAACTACCTTATTATAACCTCCACAGAAGCTACATGGTGAAACAAAGAATCCACCAGAATGGAGGTTAAAGACCTGTCTCTATAGTTGTTTTAAAAGCATTGACTTCCTATCAAAAACTGTGTGTAACACAAGCCTTCATTCAATGAAGTACAGCTGTATAAACAGGTTACAGTAACTGGATCCCACTGCCTCACCTCTGTTACTTTTCAGAATTGGGGAAAACAAGAAATACAGGAAGTAAATTATTTTCAAAGGTGGCTTTAAAAATACATTTTTAGAAAATTGTTCCAATAGTACTTTGGTAAATAAGATACATTTAACAGTATATTTACAAATATGTTCATCTTCCCGTATATTTACAAATATGTTCATCTTCCCTAATATTTGAATTGATGAGTTGTCTTCTCTAAGGAAGAAAAACAAATGTTAAAGAGAAAAACTGATATGATCACAATAAACTTTCAGTAAAAAGTCATATAAGTTGTCATCAATAATAATTTTATTTTTCTATAAGAAAATTATTGATTATAAAACTTATGGTATATTATTATGGCTTTTCAATATTAGAAATAATAATGCTATTAATACTTTCCATTGCCAAAATATAGATTTCTTTACATATATTTTATTTATACATTAACTATTCATTCAATTTGGCCAAAATTTAATGTAATATATGTGTGTATGTATGTTATATTCTTGAGTTTGCTATCTTGTTTCTTTTTTATTAAAGTCCAACTTACTGACAATGAAATATATCCCTTTTGATATTTAGTTCTATGAATTTTTACCAAACAAATACAACTGTGCAATCACTGTCAATATCGAGATACGGAACAGTTTTTATTTTCCCAAAAGATACAGAATAGTTATGATCACCCCAAAGTTCTCTCTTCTATTTTGTGTCTGGCAGGCTAACTATAACATGGCTCCCAGATTCAGATGATAAGATTCCCGGGTAACTTGGGAGAGTTCAATGTGTTTTGGGTATGAAATAAGAATCCACGGGATCCAGAGGGCTTCCTATGGGAGGCAGTCTCTAAGGCGGTCCCCAGTGATTCCTGTCTACTGGTATTGAACTCCCTGTATAAACTCTTCCCTTGAAGGTGGTTGGATCTGACTTCCTTCCAGTAAATGTAGGGATTTCCTGTTGGCTCAGTGGTAAAGAATCTGCCTGCAATGCAGAAGACCCAGATTTGATCCCTGGGTCAGGAAGATCCCCTGGAGAATGGAATGGCTACCCACTCCAGTATTCTTGCCTGGAAAATTCCATGGACAGAGGAGCCTGGTGGGTTCGTGGGGTCTCAAAGAGTTTGACACAACTGAGGGGTCCAAAAGTTCAGACACAACTGAGTGACTAATGCTTTTCTGCTAAATATACTTTTGGCAAAGGTGACGGGATGTCATTTCTGATATCAGGTGATAAAAAGACTGAGGCTGACATTTTGGGTGCTCTTACATCGTCACATGCTCTGTCTGAGGAAAGTCGGCTGCCATGTTGCAAGCTGCCTTTTGGAGAAGTACATACGACAGGGAACTAGGAAAGGCCTCAGGTTAACCAGCTAGCAAGGAACGAAGCTCCTCAACCCAAATTCCGCAAGAAATTGAATCTTGCCAAAAACCATGTATGTGACGTTAGAAGCAGATCCTCTCCAATTTGAGTCTTCAGATAACACTGCAGCCAGGAACTAGCTTACTGCTTAACTGCAACCTCATGAAAGACTGGGGACCAGAACTACTCATCTAAGCTGCCTGCTGATTTCTGACCCACAGAAGTTGCAAGAGAAGCCATGGACATATTACAAAGCAATGGACCATTAATACAGTGATCAGTGCCCCTTGATTTTACTCTCTGTCCCTAGCATCCACTGATACGGTGTCTTACACGTGTTGTTGGTGTTTAGCTAAGTCAGGTTGAACTCTTTTGCAACCCCGTTGGCTGTAGCCTGCCAGGCTCCTCTGTCCATGGGATTCTCCAGGCAAGAATACTGGAGTGAGTTGCCATTTCCTCCTCCAGGGACTCTTTCCAACACAGGGATTGAACCTGTGACACCTGTATTGGCAGGAGGATACCTTACCACTGAGTCACCAGGAGAGCCCTTTTTCCCCCTTGTTTTGCTTTTTTAAGGATGTCATATACGTGAATTATTGTGTATTAGGCCTTTGAGTTTGGTGTCTTGCACTTAGCATAATGTATCACAGACTACTCCATTTTGCTGTGTTTATCAGTAGTTTGTTCCCATTTTTTGCTGAGTAGCATTCCATTTGAACGACATGCCACTGTTTTTGTTTTGTTTTGATCCACTTAGTAGTTGAAAATTTCAAGTGTTTCTAGTATTTGGCGATTACAAATGAAGCATCTATAAATTTTCTAGCACATTTTTCAGGTGGACATATTTTCATTTTACTTTGATACATACTCAAGAGTGAGATTACCGAACTGTATGGGATGTTTACATTAGGTTGTCAAAAAAAATTCAAATCATTTTCCAAAGTGACCATGCCTTTTTGTATTATCACAGCAGTAAATGAGAGTTAAAGGTCCTCCACATTTTTATGGCAATTAATTAATTAATTATTTTTATTTTTATTTTTATTTGATAATATTTAT